TTTTTTTTTTTTTTTTTTTTTTTTTTTATCTTGTTATTACTCAACTCTTTTTGCACTTAACATGTGGATTCTGGCAAACTTACTGAAAACCAGAAGATTGCAGTGCTGTCCTGAAATAAAGTTTTTGCTGTTCCATGTTATTTCCTGTTGTTTAATCTGTCCATACCAATGATGATCGGTTAGTTTGTCTTTGGTCATAGGTGGTCAGCACAAGAGCCTTAGACCCTTGTTTTATGCTGCAATACCAGAAAAAGAATGTCAACTAAAGAGTCAGGCCGTGAATGGACTGTGAAGAAACCTCATACCTAATTGCAGGAAGTTTTCGACCTTTGGCCTACTGGGATATATTCGTGATGCACCAGCTAGACGGATGCTTGGGCCCTTGCACTGTGAATGAACCATCATGAAATACGCAGTAAGAGGCCAGCTTCATGCAAAGTTCATTCTGAAGTGTTTAATGAGATTTGAATATCGAAATTCAGGTTCAAAGAAGTTCGGAACATTTACTACCATTTCTATTCTGAAAATTTGATCGGTAATATTTATGTTAGTGCTTTTCTTTCCTGGGGATCGTCGTAATTTAGGAGTCGTTTCTTTTGGTAATTTGATATGTATGGTCATCTGTTGAATGCTGGGCAGGCATGTTAGTTTCTTATTTTTCCTATTTATTTGGCAATTTTGGTTCGAATTATGGGCATCTAGGACCTAGTTTTTTATTTTCCTCATATTTTTGGATTATATTCCATTCTAGTTTGGTCGTGAACAAAAAGATTAGTATGCAATTCATGGTTGTATGTTGTATTTTCTAATTTCTGTTAGTATTTTCAATGAAGAGTTGGAGCTGTTTTCTATCATTACATTCCGGATTCCTTTGCACCTTGTAGTTATGTATAAAAGTAAAACTAAAACAATGCCAGGACACAGTCACTCCCACTCTCTTTCAGCCACTCTAATGACTTACGTATCATATATAGCATTTTTTATGTTGGTAATAGCTTTGGACCATGTGATATATATAGGAAAAATGTTTATTAGTTGGTCTATAAAAAAAAAGACGGAAAAATATTATTGTTTAAATAAATTTTTATTAAAAAAATTATAATAATTTAATTTTGAAAATAAAAATAATATTATTTTAAATTTCTCTCATACTACGTTATATACATTTTTAAAATAACATAATTTTGTAGTTTACGGTGTTAATGTCTTCTTTGTTTTCTCTTAATTTCTTTCCTAAGTTCTCCTCTTCCTGTTGATTTCTCAATGCATCTTTTCTCCTCTTATCTCCACCAGTGCTCTTATGGTCATTTCCTGAACCAAGTTGGCATCCGATTTGATTATGCAGCTCTACAGATCATTAGAGTCGTGCAGAAACTATCATGTGGAAATCCATCTTATGGGGGATATATATATATATATGTTTTTTTTTTTATTCGGCAAACATACTTTTATCTAAATAAAAGATCCAAACAAACGTCTAAGACAAAGGGCACAAAAACCAGAGGGTAACAGGCCCTTTATTATTTTTTTTTTTCGTGTTTTGAAAAAGCATTACATCTACTTCACCGTTACTCATCTGAAATACAGTACCAGGAGAGGAACTCAGGAGTTGAGACTAGCTAGTTGCGCAAAGCAACACAGCACCTCCGAGGAGAGACCTATTGATGAAACAGTGGAAAAACCAAACTGAGCAGAGGCTGAGAGACCACAATAATGGAGCAGCAGCATACAAGGAGTCCATTTCTACTTATGACAAAGAATGGAGGAAAAGAACGCCACCAGAGTAGGCATAAAGTGACTTGGAAAGATAAAGATCTTGTTGTTATGTACCCATACCTCCCCCAGCTAAGACATCCACTCCAAACTGCCCTAAAACAACTCCTTACCACCATTAATCTCATGCCATCATCAAGTAGACAACAATCATATAACATATATTTTTTCTTTTCTGCAAAGAACATCCTAAATCACCAAAACCCCTTGCCTCAACACGGATACCAAAGACCTAAGCGATGTTGCAGTAATCGCTTTTAAGTAAAAGTAAAAAGTCTTAGGGTGGAATATACAAAGAAATTAAGAAATTTGCTGCCTCTTGTTACAAAAAAGAAAATAAAAAAATAAATAAGAAATCTAAAGAAAAGAAATACACCAACCATTTGATCACCTCTAGAGTTCTATCTTTAACCATTTTGGAGAGGGGTAAATCATTCCTATTCAATTTCTCTACGACGACACGCACCGGCATCCGCAGAAACAAAAGAAACAAAACAGGATATAAGCAGATTTTATAATATTCAAGCTCTGTTGACCGGCAAACGGCGACTGCAAGGTCAATAATGGAGTATGGGAAACACAGAACCATGCCGGCTCTTACTACGGTATATGAAGGTGGGGACGGTGACTCATCTTCTTCTGAATCTAACCAATTCTTGTCTAACCAGTTCTTGAAACTGAACAACACCAAACAGATACCGGCAATTACCCATGTCAGAAACTTGAACCCGAAGCAGTTGTAAGTAATGGATCCAATTACTCCCATGATTAAACCGAAGAATCCCAAGTCTTTCTGTGGTCCTAATACCACCAATAAACTCAGAAGATAAACCGCCATGCAAAACCCAGCACTGAGACTCTATCATAAAATTTTTCAAAAAAAAGTGCTAGAATAAAACAGGTGGAGTCCAGCATTGAATTTACCTTCCAGCCAGCCCTTCGACGGGGGAGCACTCCGTTCCGACTGAAAATTTCCGTCCGAAATGTTAACGAGGCGAGGCAAATAAGGAAGAAAGGAAACGATATAGTCCCATATTTATTATATTTCGATCTCATCAACTCTGTATCCCGCAGAAGAAATACAGCAGATAACAGCGCAAATTTTCCGACCAGTCTGGCCTTTGGCTGACCCTTCTTCTTTTCTTTCTTGAGATGCTTTCTGAGAGCACCCGACAAAGTCTTCATCTTGTTAGCAATCGCACCTGACTTAGCAATCATTGAGATCGATTGCCAGTACGCCTTGAGAGCTTCCCATAAATAGATCATCATCTTTACAGTCCAATCCACCATATTCATCACTAGATTAGCCAACCCTCCTATAACCCGAGATTCCAGATGCATTACTAGGAAGATGAGATTGCGAACCATCCTCGCTGTTCTCACCACCGCTTCAGTTGAACCTCTAATGTTTTCCATTCGGAAGAAAGAACTCGGCAATGTGGATCAGAATGATTTGCCCTTACAGATTTTTCGTTGTATGTCTGTATACAAAAATGGATCGGTAATATTTCTAACTTTCCTCTTTCCGCGTCTTTCCTAAATCGCTTTACTCTTTCTCCTCTGCAATGTAAGGGCAGGGTCAGGGAAGTTTCGCTCCCTCTTCACTTCCCGCGTTTTGACATCGAACGCGGTAATCGAGAACGATAAAAATTAACAATTAACAATTAAAAATTAAAAT